TTCATGTTACATGAAAAGCACGTCAATTCGTCAGACGAAACGTAAATATTATATGTCTGACCTTGAAAAGTAATAGGTAATAAACCGTTGATATTGAGATCTTTTAAATATACATAAACTTGGCGGCGAAAAGACTTTACATGTTTCAGTGCTGGTCTTTTGCACCCGAGTGGGATCGCTCGCACCGCACTCATGACACGCCCGTATTTAGCTAAGGCATCTGTAATAAAATTGTCAGGTATAAAAAGGGGAACATTTGATAGCACAATTTTTGTAGAGGGGCGGACAAGAGGTTCAACAGAAACATGGAGGTCTCCAATGTCAAGGCCAGCGGCAGAAACCATGTCGACCCATGTAACCTTATTTAAAAAGACAATAACCGATCGGTTCATACGGGATGCAGCCACAATATTACTGGCCCCGACTAAATCTGCAACCGACTCCACATAAGTTTCAACAGGAATGCCATCAATGTTTTCACATCGTACCGCATGGTTGGTTTCTAGTAAGGTGACCTGTTGGTGTTGACGGTGGCCTTGTGTGAGCGGCAGCCATCTTGGTTGCCGACCACCTTGCCATGGCAAAGGCAAAAACACTCCAAAACCCACAATAATAACGAAAACAACAACTATAAATTACTCACGTAAAAGGTAGACACACTATATATACAGCTGTGTAGAAACACGGGCGCGCAAAAACGCAAAACAGGCAGAAAATCGGGGAGCGCTGAAAAGCACCGCGTTCACCCGATTATATTATATTATATTATATTATAATGCTTAATATGAACCAGAAATAGTACACCTTTAGATACAACCAAGGTCTCTGTGACTTTTTTTTCTCGGAGCACACAGTTATAAGAGCCATTGCAATGCCGTTGGTATCCTATTCATGAAATAAAATAAGTCTGAATTTCCAATATATTGCGCATCAACCATTCAGCATGTCACATGAGTGATCGGCCTATTGATGTAACACACAGCTTCTGCATACTAGTATTTGATTGATTCGTGGTTAGCGTTTAATTGTGAGGCCGTCGTGGGTACAGTAATCGGTTATGAGTGCCCGGGGTCATCACGCAATTGACAGTATATAATGGAGTGTTCACAACATGTCAACATTTATGCGTCACATTTTGCATAAGAAAGGAACGGGTCCCGAAGTTAAGTTGTCTGAAAGTGCTCTGTGTATTCAACGACCGGTCACATAAACATATAAACAAATCTGAGACAACATAAACCTTTTATGTGGCTTTTCTGTTGCGAGGACACCGCTTCAATGTAATTTCAGCGACTATAATATACGCCTTTTGCGAAGATATCTTATGACAGCCGTGATTACCTGTTTATAACTGGCACCGCGCTGTAAATACATGGAATATAAAATCAATAACACCACACAAGCTGTCCAGTGACGTCTGCTTTTTCGTTAATCTTCAAATATGGAACTGCAAGACAAGAATTCCAATGACAAGAAGAATAGTACGAAGTTTGCCACGGCGAGTCATATTATCGCCGCGACAGCTCGCACACATCGAGTGGCTCCGACAAATTCGGATCAGAAAAAACGTCGTGCATCGAGATCACTTCGTATCTCAACGGTCGGTAGTAACTTTCCGGGATTTCCCATCGATGTTCAAATTGCCGAGGAAGATGGTGGAGACCAGAACATCAGTCTTTGGCAGGTAAGCTGTAAACAACACTTAATTATTTGACAAAAAGTCATGTTTTGGGACGTATTCCGCCGACTTATTTGTGTGTATTGTATTTCTCAATGGTACTATTCAATATTTCACTGAGGTATTAAGGTTATGAATCTAATGCACTCATATGTAGAAATGTAAAGGAAAGCAAGGAATGTTTACATTTGTTTACGTGAATGTGGAATTGTTATTGGCAAATCACGCAGACTTCATTGTGGGAACCTATTAACGTAATTAATGGCTCGTATCTAGCACGTATTTCAATAAAAATAGCGTTCGACGTAGAATAATAACCTCTATTGCTTAGTAACCACAAGACGTCACGGTGTTTCTTATTGGCATTGTAAGTGTAAATTATGACGACCAAAACTGCCATGAGACAATAACGTGATGGAATCGAATAATTGCGACCTCCAAAAAAGGTAATGGTCGGTGAAAAAAAAGTCCTATTGCTGAGTTCCAAAATAAAATGGTTCAATAGTTCAGCGTGATGAACGATTTCCACGTTCATGACCCCTCACCCAATGTATATAATTAGGTGAAGATTTTACTATACTGTAGATTCAAACAACATTGTCCACGCGATTAATGTAATGATTTAAACCAGACACGTGTATGTTCCGTTGACTATCAGTGTTGTATATTAGCTGTTTACACTGCGGGTGTTAGATTTAACTGACAACCCCCTCCCTATCTCGAACTTTCAACGGGGTTGTGTAAACACACCTTTTAGCCAAATTAGATAATCCTTCTAAGTCTCTACTATAAAGGCAAATTCCATAGCAGACTTTTCTTCCGTATATGACCTTGAAAATGAGAATGTACGTTTATTGTGGATAACGAGGTAAATTGACAATCAGGTTGTCAGGAAATAACATTTAAATGAGTTTTTATATGATGATATATCATATATTTTTATATGATATAGCATATCAACACAATTCTATATATCAAAGATCAGATAATAGGAAAATTTCTGGATGCTTCAACTGTGGTGAACCAGACCATGTTCAGAGTGTATGTCGACATGGAATGAAAATTACATGTAGGAGCTGTGGTCAACAAGGTCACAAAGCCAAGTTCTGCTGGGTAAGATATGATTAAAACAATGGCCAAGAAGAGTGTGCCGGTGAAAAGGAGACTCTTATAGAATATTTAAACCAGGACCAACTGGGCTTTAATGAGACTTTTAAGGATGATATAATTTTACCAAATGCCGCAAACTCAAATGTTCTCTTTGACAAAGTAGTGAAAACTCAAAGCCATACATGCATGTCCAGTAGTGTTTCATCTAACAATCCTAACTGCCATAAAGCTACCCATAAAACAAGACGAAAAGCCAACAAATCAAAATCAC